TGTGTGTGTGTGTTGGAATGTGCAGGAGAAGAGAAATAAAAAGACACTTTAAAGGAGAGGGGTAGAAAAAGTAAGAGAACACAAGTGATATGAAAGTATAGAGGAAAAAAGTTGGGGTGGAAGGGTTAAAGCAGGGATGGGGACAGGGAGATGGAGAGGAGGAAGGAGTGGAAGGGGCAATCAAAGCAAAGGTGTGTATACAAATGCAAAACAAAGACTCCGTCTACAGGGAGCAATGTATCCTTTCGTATCTTTACAAAAGTGAAACTATAAGCAATTAGGATTTGGAAACTTTATTAGATGTCCCTTCAACAGAAACATATGCAAGATCATAACCAAAGGCCATGTCACTGCCATGGTCACTGTCTTTAGCTCCTTCTCCTATTGTGATGAGATTCCCTGACAAAAGTAACAGAAGGAAGAGAGTGTTGGCTCACAGTTCCAAGATGGCGGGAGCCTGAAGTAGCTGTCACATCACATCACAGTAAGGAAGCAGAGAAGGACGGATGCTGCTGCTGCTCAACTCCCTTTCTCTACTGATACAGTCCAGGATCCCAGCTAAGGAAAGGTGTGACCCATAGTGGGTAGGTCTTTCCATCTCTAATAATGTAATCAAGATCATCCCTCATAGGCATGCTCAAAGGCCCATCTCCCTGGAGATTCCAGAATTTGTAAAGTTGACAACACTAACCACCAGTTGCTAAGACATGAGGAAAGAGTGCCTGGGTGCTAATTAGAGCTTCCTCAGTCTTGGAACACTGTATGGCACAGAGGAGTGGCATGATCCTGGTTGGATGAGTGGAATCATTTCAGAAAATGGTTAACATGGCAGCAATATCCTGAATTTCTCCAAAAAGTAACATTTCCTTATAGGAAAAGCCAACAAAAAGTGGAGTGACCAATGAAAGGGGCTTGATCTGGAAGACAAGTGGGAAGGAGGAGCTGAGGCTTTGCCACTTCCTAGCTGTGGGACCTTTACCCTCCCCAAGATACAGTTCCTCACCTGTGAAAAATATAATCGAACTCCCCTCCCAAGCTCATTGTCAGAAGCAAGCATCCTGGTACAATCATTTCCCACTCATGTTCACACTTAGTAAATACCAAGTAGGAGAAGGCAGGTGTTTTATGGAAGCACATGAAACTGCCAACATTGCACCAGACTTCACCTCCAGCAGTGCGGCTGGCTACAGTTCAGCCGGATAGCATAGTATCTTGCCTCTACAACCCATTTGGCTGAAACTGGAGAAATTCTTTTCCCATTACCTTCATTGCTTTATCTGGCAACATGTTTCCTAGTTGCTCTCAGGACTGAGAGCTGGAATGTCCCGAGCCTTGGAAGCATGTCACATGTGGGTAGTGTGGTTAGCAGACATCTCTAGTGCTCGAAGGCAGGGTCTCTCCTTATATGGAGTTACAGTGAACTGGTTCCAGCTGGACCAAGAAAGCAGGAGCAAGAAGGCTTGCCCAGGTTAGAAATATTCTAAGATTCTGTCTCTTTGTGAACAAAAGCACCAGGGAACATCTAAATATACTATGTAAAACAACTGCATGACAGATTATGCAAAACTACCTTTAATTAGCAACAAGTGTTGGCCAGATAACACTCCTTGGGTGCAGCTGAATTAAGTTTGTCAATAAAAGTGTCAAAAGCTGAGGTTTATAGTCTCCTGCTTACCACCATCCCACTCTTGTCCTTGTGTTTTATGGTGCAGGATGTTACACACTATAATCCTAGCCTCACACCATCATTACCACAAGACATACAACAAATATTCTCCAGAAACATCTCCTCTCATGATATAGCTTTTCATTCCTATGTAGCATGTTAGAAAATAATTATTTTAACACACCTAACTTTTATAACTTGGAAAATGTTGCACACAATTAAACTTGCTTAAAACACTGTAGTTTTTATAACTCTATTGAAGTGATTGCATTTATAAAGTTGTATTTCTGGATTTTAATAATGTTAATTCCTTTTAAGCAAACATGTATATCAGCTAGTGCAGATGTGTCTTACTAGAATTTACTTTTCTCTTTGCGTTTATGTATTTATATCTCCAGATAAAGTTCTTAAAGAGGAACTTGAGCACATGTTCTGAGAGGGAGAGAAATGTCTCACTAATCTTTGTATTCTGTATGGCACTTCAAACTGCTACATTTTAATAGGAATTGAATAAACGTTTGCTGAGTTAAATCATAAGCAGTTACAGGAAAATAATGGTGTTAGTTTTCACATAAAAATACAGGAACTCAAGCAATGATATCTGATGCTAGAAGATCAAACGGAAAGTCACAATAGCCACAGGAAATTAATGCAAGACTTTCAGATTAATTTTCCATTAAAGTGAAGGTGAAGTCTACTTGCTCCCTGGAAAGAAGATAATGTTCTAAGATTTGACACTCAGTGTTAGGTAAAATGCATTTATCTTCAAACATAAGTGCCCATTTTCCTGAGGTGTGAAATGCATTCTGTAAAAGCCACAGGTAAGTAACAGTCATAGGCGACCAAAGGGATTCTTGTACAAATGCAGTGCTGGGGCTGGAATAAGTGTCCCCAAAGGCATATGTGTTAAAAGCTTGGTCTCTAGCTTGGTGCTCCTGGGAGGGAGAGGAACCTTTAAGAAGTGGAGCCTCCTGGGAGTAAGTTGAGTCACTGGGGGAATGCCCTTGAAGTGGATATTGGCACCTCAACCATTTCTTGTCTTTCTTTGCTTCCTGGCTCCCCTGAGTCAAGCAGCTTCCTTTACTGTATGCTGCTGCTATTATGTTCTCCCTTGCCACAGGCCCCAAAGGAGCCAAATGAGCATGATCATGGACTGATACCTCCAAAACTGTGTGCCAAAACAGACCATTCCTGCACTGTGTTACAGTAATAGAATGCTGACTAATATAGGCAGAGATATAGGCATCAACCCCAGCAATGACAGTTTAAAAGGGATGATACAGGTCTAATGGGTGTGTCCAGCCTTCAGCCCATGGACCACATGCAGACAAGAGTTATGATGCAGCCTAACACTAAATTGTGAGCTAACTTAAAACAGAAATTTTTGCAATCAAGTTTTTGTAACTCACTTTTGTGTTTCTTGAGCATGAACTCAGTAGATGGCCAAGTCATGTCACAATGTCAAAAGGTTGGGCACTGAATAGGTAATGTTGATGGAAGAAATGTGGGCTCTACCTGAAGACACCATGAATGAAAGAGTAGCCTGGCATTAGAAATGGAAAGCCAGGGGTCCCCAGGTGCTACCCAAATAACACCCAGTCTGCTGTGGCATGGTGTTCTCAGGTGCACTGAGCAGCTAAGGGTGACAACAGACAACAATAGTCAATCACTTACTTTAAAAACCCTTTTATAAACCACCATTCCACATGTTTTCATTCAAAACAAGGCTATACAGTCAAGGCAAATAAAGGTTAGGTAAAGAAAATAGAAAATCACCACTAATATTAGTATTATCAAAAAAAAAATCTTGCATGGTATCTTAAAAATTTGAAAGAATCTGATTAAGCAGACTCAGCAAAACAATCTTTTCCTTAAGGCCAATTCCTCAGTTGAGTTGTAGGGCCACATATCATAGGATAATTTAGAGCCTATACCAATCCTTCTAGAGCCCAGTCTTCAAATATGCAGCTTCAGGGTGACTCCCTCCCTGAGACTTGTCCCCTCTCAGAGCCTGTCTAGATGGAGGGTCTCAAAATGCTAAAATGCCTCTGTCCTAGTTTGCTTTTTATTGCTGCAACAAAAATACTAATCAAAACCAACTTGAAGAGAAAGGGGTTTATTGCATCTTACTCTTCAAGTGACAGTCCATCACTGAGGGAAGCCAAGGCAGTGACTTCAGCAGGGCAGGAGCCTGGAGGCAGGCACTGAAGCACAGACCACAGAGGAAGGCTGCTTACTGGCTTGCTCCTCTGGCCTGTTAGCCTTCTGCTGTCTTATACAACCCAGGACCACCTGCCCAGGGTTGACACCACTGACAGGGGCTCTCCCACATCACTCAACAATCAAAACAAACAAACAAACAAAAAGCCTCACAGCCACAGGACCATCCAATAGAGGAAATTCCTCAACTGAAGTTCCCTCTTCCCAGGTGTGTCAAGTTGACAGTGGACACTAACCAGCACAACCTCTTGCAGACAGCAATTTCTTCAATTTCTCATCTGCCATTTGCTCTCACTGGACCTCCAGCCTCTAGATAGTTCCATAATAGTTCATTAAGTAAAGGTCAGGGCAGCCATTGGCTGCTTCAAGGAGAATAACACCAAATTCACACTTCGGAAAGGCCTATCCGTATTTAGTTTCATTTCCAATAGATCTTCTGACTACTCCTCTTGAAGATACAAGGAGAGCTTTGAAAGCTCTGCTGAACACTGAATTGCTCTAGCACGGACACTCAGATTCCAAGCAAATAAGCAACAATATACTCACTCTCTAAACCACAAATAATTTAAAGCAGTCAGCAATGTGTAATGGTAGTAAGGCAGTCACAAAAACACGTTGTGTTAAACTGAGTTCTACGTGTAGCTAGCTTGTACATTAAGTTAAAATAAGTCCAAAGACACCTAACTATAACTAAAATAGGTACATACTGCCTCCCTTCCAAGTTATCTTGAAAAGCAACAATGATGAGCTCCTCTAAGTTCAGTTAATTAATTCCAAGCTTTCTTCAGCAAGCTCTGTACTCTCATTCTATATCACATACCATCTGCCCATGGGGAATATTTAGTGTTCCCTCACATCCTGCTTCCTAACTCTCAAAACAAGTATATCTTCTTAAAAATCAGGAAAATGCTAGCCAGACCAGAGGGGGAAAGGCCCTGGATTTCAAAAGCACGTTATCACGGCTGTGCAATCTACTGCTGCCGTCTCCTGGGTTAATCAAGCAGTAGCTCCTATGTGCCAAGAAAAACCAGAGTGTCCAACAAGGGTCATTCTTGCCAATCAACTGGGTAGTAAATTTTGTACACACAGGGGAAAAAGGCTTCAATCCCCTTACCTCTAAGTGAGTCCGCCTCTCGGCAACCACACGCTCGTCTTTGTTTCCAAACAGCTTCTTTGGGGGGAATTCAAGGGCAGCAAGCTGAAACACATAGGTTTAAAGAGATATATTAGTATTATACTTATGATCTTTGTCTATTATCAAACCATTGTTTGGGACCTTTGTCATGGAGGGAAGAGAGAAAGAAACTGGAGTTTAAGGTCCTGCCCAGTGTTGCCATCAACTAAATCTGATCGTGAACAGACCAGGTAATCTTGGGTCAGATTCCTCAGTCATCAAATGAAAAAACAGAAAGATGAGCATTCTGAGGGCAGACTGACCCAATGCTTAATATATCGGATTCTGTGCCACATAGTATTTTACTGTTTCGCTCTGTGTGATGCTGGGGTCAAACAAGGTTCTTGTATGTGCTAGGCAAGAGCTCCACCACTGAACTCCATCCCCAGCCACTGATCTTTTGTTTTGTTTTTTGAAACAGAGTCTCATGCTGTAGCCCAGGCTGGCCTGGCGTTCATTAAGTCACCCAGTCTGGTCCTGAACTTGGCTGATCCTCCTGACTCAGCCTCCTGGAGCTATCATGCTGTTCTTTATTTTTATTTTGAGACATGGTCTTGCTAAGTTCCCTAAGCTGGTCTTGTATTTGCTCTATAGCCCAGGCAATTAGCTTTGTGTGGAGATGAGAATTTGAAAACTCCACCAATACACTCCCTGGTCATTTGGTAAAACAGTTCTTAGACAATTACTAAGGTCCCCTAAGGAGTCCACATTGTTTTTTGTTTTGTTTTGTTTTTTTCAGTTTTAGTTAAGTGATGAGCACCCATGGAAGAACAGTGCTTCTTGTTAAATCTATCACATCATTTCCTACAAAACGAAGGTTCAGAATTAGGTTTTTAGCTGGGTCTTAAAATTTCATAGTCGTTTTCCTTAATGCTTTTCTTCTTGGAGGTATAAAGACCGTAATAATGAGCTATGTTTTATTATAGTGTCTTGGCTGGAAAGGGCTGTATAATCTGGTGAGAACTTGGCCAGCTTTGTGTTGGCAGAATGGGTGTTAAAGAGCAGTAACTGGTGCTGTGGGTAAAAGTCACTGCTTCCTTGGTCCTCACCTTGGGAAGGCGAACTGAAGCCAGTGAAGCATTATTAAGAGAAAAGCGAACATCCTGCCTACTATGTAGGGCACAATAGACCACAAAACTCCAATTTTATACTTAGGTAAACCACTAAGTTGATCTAAATTTATATTGCTACAGCTGAAGTAAAAAAATTAGAGACTAGCTTCTGTATACTTAATACTTAAAAAACTCACTATTAAAGTATGCTAGATATGATGCAAAGTATAATATATAAGAGAAAAACTTGGAAAATGTTCAAACTCTCAGAGAAGTGGACACTGCTGTTCTCAGGACCGCAGGTGCGCTCCCTCCGGTTCTGTCTTCCCACCTCTAGTACGGTTAACAATAGCCCGACAGACTTCATATAGCAGTTTGATTCTGTGTTTTTATCTCGCCTTGGTAGTGCTGGACATTGAACCTAGGGCCTCATGTAAGCTAGGCAAGGCTCTACCACTGAGTTGTATCCTCAGCCCTGTTTTTGCTTTTAAAATTTTATCACGGGGGTCTCGTTAAGTTCCCAAGACTGGTCCTAAACTTTTGGCTTTCTTTTCCTAGTTCCTGAGTAGCTGGAACTATTAGGCATGTAGTATAGTACCACCACGTAGAGTTTCTGTTTATGAACATCACACAAATGGCATCATACAGGTTTTCACGTGCCTGCATCCTTTTGCTCAGCATCATGTTTGTGAGATCCATCCATACTGTTATACACAGCAGCAGTTGGCATATTCTCATTGCTGTATAATATTCTGTTATATGAACTTTCTGTGGCTTGGTTGCTTATTTTGTTTTGGTTGTTACTGAGCTTGTTGTTAGCTTCCAGTTTGGGGCTCTGGGGAGCTATGCTGCTGCGGATATCTCCCCACAGGTCTACTGATGGACATATGTATGCACTTCTGCTGGTCATGCTGTGAGGAGTAGAAATGCTGGGTCATGTTATGCTTGTGTTTAACAGTATTCAAAATCTACTGAAGAGGTTTGTGCAACTGGTTTTAGTAACTGACACTTCTACTGAAATCCAGCTGTGTCAGATCCCTATCAGTACTTGGAACTATGGACTTTTCTATCCTAGCAATCTTGGTAAGTAACCAGTCATTTCTGCTGTGGCTCATGTTTGTAGTTCTCTGGTATCTAATGATGTTGAACAGCTCTTTGTGTATTTACTGACCTTCTTAAGTATTTTGAGGAAGTGGCCATTCAACTATTTTTCCCTTTTTGAAAAGAAGAGTCTGTCTTTTGCTTAGCAATTCTCCCTTCACTCTCTTGAAGGTGCCACTGATGACTTCATAGCCCCTTTTCAAAATTAACTGTCAGGTGGGTGGGTGGTTTCACATATCAAAACTGTTTCTGTCAGGGCAGAGAAGCCTTGGAGTGGGTGGCTTAGCACTTAAGGATGGATCTCCCCTCTTCCTTTCTCAGCAATGTTCCAATTTCGTTGCTGTTATTCAACTCTGAAACTGGCTCAAGGCAGAATGAAAGAGACTAGGGGCACTGGGAGGGAGAGATTCAATTCGAATCTGAATTTGTCCCCTAACCAGCTAACTAGCCGTGCATCTCTCAACTTGAATACTCTGTTGGAAAACACTACAGACAGTGATACTGAACTTGGCAAGTTTCTATGACGATTTAGCAAAAACTGGTGAATGAACTTTTGACAACGATTATTAATTATCAGAGGTCTGGTAACTCAGGACACAAGTGAGCACTACACAATGTACAAGCCTCGAGGCTCTCTATCTGCTAGACTTGTGGCTTCAAAGAGCAAAGGGATTATTTGAATCTGGCCTTGTTGGCACAAACTCTTCTCCCCCATGTTGCAGCTCAGAGGAGACAGCCCATCAGAGCTTGTCTTCTGCATTCCGTCCAACCTCAATTTCTTTTTATACAAATATGTTCCATTCCTTCTTCTACAAATAGGCTCATTTTAGGAACTCAAGCTCCATGTTCTAGTGGCAGGGCTAAGACCTGAACAAACCAACACAGAAAGTTAAGACATAATGCCAAACACATGGCAAAGTCTCCCCATTAGGATAATTACATTTACACCAGGAACAGCTTTCTCCCTACAACAGGAAAGAATCTATTCCTGCTGGCAGAGGGGAAACCACACCACCACTTCCTTTTACACACTCTTCACAGGGCTGTCCAGGCCTTGCTATCTGTTGCCTCAGTTGAATGAGATGAAATCACCAACTTTGTAACTTAAAGTGTTTGATATCAGCTAGATAAACCCTGAGTAAAATTCTGACCCTTTAAAGTCATTGCTGGGGTCACCTGGTTTCCATCAGCTAAGTGGAAGTATTCTCAATGGATAGATTATTAATCTGCTCTATCTAAACCAATCATTTCAAAAGAATGTATTTTTCTCTAAGCATTCAAAAGAAAAAAACCCTCATAAAACTGGAAGTATATTAAAAGTATATAAAATTAAACTAGCTGAGGGGTTGGGACAGCTAGCCCAGGCAGCTGAGGAACAATGACCGCTGTGCCTTGGCCTTCTGCAGCTTCACTTATCCTTAGTTTGAAAACATCAAATGGAAAATTCCAGAAATAACGTATGAAGTTTAAAGTATACACAGTTCTGAGTAGTGATGAAATCCCAGAACTTCTCATGCTGTCCTGCCCAGATAGTGAATCATTTCATCATCCAGTGTATCTATGTTGGATAAGCTACCCTTCTGTTGGGCACACAATAGCTATCTGTGCTCCAATCGCTTGCATTTAAGGAACCCTTGAAGAATAGTGATGCTGAAAATATGCACACACACACACACACACACACACACACACCCTCAGATATGTGTATATGTGTATATGTGTATTTATATGTATATAAATGTATGTATATGTGTATATATGTATACACACACACTTTAAAAGAAAAGGTCAAAGTTCTTGCTAAGTAGGGAAAGAAAAAAGATTGTATGCTAAAGTGGCTAAGCTCTACAGAACAATATCAGAAAATATAAGAGAAAAGCTGCATGGAGTGTGTGTATGTATTGGTGGGATGTGTGGAATGTTCTTGTAACTTTTATTATAGTATAAACCAACTTTACTACAAGTATGTACACACAGGAATAAATGGCATAAACAAAGTATTTGGGGGGTGGGGTCAGGCACCCACCTGGGTCATGTCCTTTATGGAAAACAGGGGACTACTATGGTTGCTGACAGAATGTGCATGTGTTCATGCTCATGTATGTGGGTGCACATGTGTATACACATGTGTGGAGGCCAGTGGTTGATGATGGATGCCTTTTTTACTCACTTATCCACCTTAATTTTTGAGATGGGGGTCTCTTATGGAACCTGGAGCTCAGTGACTGGGCTAAGACCATCTCGTCAGCAAGCTCAGCTATCTATCCCTGCCTTTCCAGTGCTGGGCAACAGGCACACAGCACTAAAAGTGGCAAGCACTTTACAGATTGAGTCATCCTTCCAGCCCCACACAGAGTCTTACAGTCATATTCCTAAAGCTATTTTCTAGATTCATCATCACCTTTACTTGAATTGGCTTCTCTGACACATATAAATAAGTCCCCAAAAAGTGGGGAAGAGGACTTTGGTGCTGACCTACTGGAAACTGAAACGAGGAAAAGATGAACAGAAGCAGAAATTGCTGCTTTCTTCTGAAGATGAAGATGGAGGCAACGATGAAAATAATAATTGTTAGTAACAGCAAAGAGGCGGAACACAGCCTTTTACTCCCAGCACCTAGGAGGCAGAGGCAGGCAGGCCAGCCTAGTCTACATGGTGAGTTCCAGGCCAGCTGGAGGCTGCAGGAAGACCCTATCTCAAAAAACAAACAAACAAAAAATAAATAAATAAATAGCAAAAGCCCTTACACCACAGTTTAAAATGTATGAGAACCAAAGGGGCTTGAACTTTCTCTTTGTCTGCAACGAGTACAGTTCGGCTCATTTGCTTTAAAGCTGGAAAGCAAAAGCTATTGTGTGCAGGTTACATGTC